CGCCGCCGGGGCGTCAGGAGTCATCCTGAGTGATTCAAGACGCTGACGCCGCCGGAAGTGGCCGTGATTCAGCGGTCAAGGACGGGTCACGGTCTCGACCCAGTGCGGCCGTGTAGTGAGGTGACACGGGACGCGATGTCAGGCACGTGTCTCGATCCGAACCACACCTCCCAGGGAAGGAAGGGAGCTGCGGAAGGGGTGATGAGATGGATCAGTCGGGGCCCCACTGCCCAGCTGTGCTGCTGTCCCGCGGCTGGACTGGCCCGACCGGCAGTTACTCACTCACCGATAGCGGAACCGGGCACCGTCATCGGCCGGGGCTCCGCCGGGTGGTGTCTTACCCCCGTGACGTGCAGTACCTACCGTCCGGCGCTGGACAGGCGGCGGGCTCAGATTAGACCGGCAGAGAGCTGACCAGCGGCCCGGAGAGGCGATGAAGTCATGTGGGGGTGCAGCTGTGGCTCAGAGAAACTAACTGTATTCCATCATCCACCGCTCTCCGTCAGGCTGGCTGGGTGGGAGCATCTGGGTTGTGTGAGCTCTCTAGGAGTGTGGGAGTCGAGGACGGGGCGGTAGAGGAGCGCGGCCCCCTCCCTTCGCCACCGCCGGCGCTCAGAGGACCTTCACCAGCCGGATGATGAAACTGCTGACGTGTCGCGCTCGGCACGGGCCCGGCTGGCTGCCCACCCGGCCGGCGACCAACCTCGCCAAACGGGGCTGCGTGGCGCGGCTCACCTGACCGCCAGCCGGTCGGTGCCACTAGCTGCACATACCGCCGAGCGGCCGAGCGGCCGACCGACCCTGAACCTGCACCGATTACCAGCCCGGCGCGGCGCGCGGCGAGCTGGCGGCCGGCCGCCGCGCCTGCAAGATGGTCTGTCGGCCTTGGGGCATCCGTCAGCCACGCACTAGCGGCCATCCGCGGGCCGGGCGGCCCCAGTGGCCGGGGGACACGCCCCGGACAGCGGCCCGGACACGGACACGGCGGGCACGGGCCGGGCAGACGGGAGCGCCGGCCGGCGGAGAGGCTGCCGGCGCGGCGCCGATGGTCAAACAGCATTCTCAGGAGATCCGGAGAGGGAGTGCCGCCCCTCCCCCTCCGCCCGTTTAGGCCAGTGTAGCCCGTGCCCCGCGTGACCCCCGTACCGTCCGGCGCTAGCTCAGCCGGGTCGTCCACCGATCGGTCCGAGATCGACAGTGGGTCGGAGGCCGGTCGGCCGTCGACCCCGGCCGGTGACAGCTCTGATGGCCCGACACGCGTGCGTCCGACACGCTCGCTCGCTGTCGAGCGTGTCAGCCAACTACCTAGTCAGGATAATATTACGAGGAGACGGCCTTATGCCTCAGGCACTGCTGGGTTGGCACGGTAGCCAGGTAGGGTGCACGGTAACAGATTGCCCCGTCGGGAACCACAGCGACCGCCGGGGTGGGTGTGCGAGTGCTGCACGATCGATCAATACTGGAGCGGACATATGCGCTGATGTAGTGCTTGGGTGAACCCCCGGATAGTGTACTGACGCCGGTCGGTCTAGTGTACGGATGCTGGTGGCTTCGGTGAACCCCAGGGCACACAGTGTTCGATAAGCTGATGGTTGTTGCGTTGGTGGACCCCCGGGCACAGTGTTCGATAAGCTGATGGTTGTCGCGTTGGTAGAACCCCGAACCCCGGACTCCAGTGTACTCCGGTGGACCCCAGATACGGCACTCGTTGTACTGATGGTCTCAGCTCTGGTGTAACCCCCTCCCACTGCCGCTGCTGTCATGACTGGCTGTCATTACTCCTGTCACTGTCATCATCCGTCATGTAAGGCTGACCGCTTCCCGCGCATGGCTACTGCCCCTGGTAACGCGTCTAGCAACGCAGCGCAGGGCTGCATTCATGAGACACTTCCTGAGAACTGAGGCCGCTCTCGCCGAGTAAGTGCGGACATTACGACTCAGCCGTCACCAGCATGTAATTCCGTAAAATGTCGCAAAATACTGCCTTATATAGGGGAGAGTGGGGCAAAGCGGCCACCCTAACGTTTCTAACGATGCCGACGCTTGATTTTTAAACTTGGAAAGATTCTTTCTATACCAATGTGATCCCTATTAAATTGTCTTTTATTCCAACTGCGTTTCATTTCCAAAGGCGTTCACATATGGGAGATATTGACAAAACTTTAAACCTATAGCATATTGGCCACTTTGCCCCATCCCTGAGGCAAAGCGGCCACTGGCGACTTCTCAAGTCCAGATATGAGAAACAGAATAGTTGCCTCATGCACGACTAGGGTATTTGATGGTGACAAGGTTTAAGGGAAGATGGATGTTTACTTTGTTATCTTCCCACCTATTGCTAAACAAAGAAAGAATTTTCTTGGAAAAACATTTAATTGCATAATTTGGTAACTCATGTAACCGAAAAGTGGCCAAGATGAATGCATGACGACACATTTGAATATAAATAATGTTTTTGTCCAGATGGAAACAACTTATGGCCAATTGGGGGCTGGCCACTTTGCCCCGGCCGCTTTGCCCCGCGCATACCGTCCGAGACAAAAATATTCCAGCTCAGCTATTAGTGGGGTAAAAAGCATTAAAATTGGTAGAAGGCATGTACGATAACCACGCAATGTATGGACAAAAACGCTTATAAAAATTCCAAACGGTTATGGAATAAATTAACATTTAAAAATTGTAGACATAATTGGTAACCTGGCAAGAAATGCTTTTCCGTGTTTCACAGAACAATGGCGATGGGCCTGAAACCCCGGTTTGGCTCATTCGAACGACCGCAAAGAGAAGTATAATTGGAAATCATAAATTGGAACTGACGCCAGCTGTGGAGGGCTAAAACGATGGATGGCCGCTTTGCCCCGGGTGGCCGCTTTGCCCCACTCTCCCCTAACTGTCTGGTGGGCTCGGAACTACTGCCAGGAAATGGACTCTGATCGCTAGTCGGTATTTCTCTCGTAGACCTCAATAGTGGTAATCATAGGGAGCAAAAACGGTAATGCCCTGGCACTTACGCCGGGGTAACTCTCAATAGGTCTCGAGGTTTTTACCGTTCTCCGTTCGAGCAATAGTGCTTGACAGATCTGCCTAACATTTATCCAATTTGCCAAGATTGGTTTATCGGTTATCGAAAAATGAGGTCAAGCACTGAGCTCAGTCGCCGATAGAATATACGCGCCCCTGATTTGTTTAAAGTTCTCGTGCGATAGATATCAAGACAGCTGGACCAATGAGCTTCCGTCGTGCATAAATCATACATATGCGCATACGCAACCAGGGTGAGGAATGTGTCCGCAGTTTAAAGCGCCCGTACCTGCCCCTGTCGCCGCGGCGGCGGCGGCGGACACCTGGATACAGTGACGTCACCGCCGTGCTGTGATGACGTCACGGTGCGCCGGTGACGGATGTGTCTGCGGTCGAGCTCCCACGGCCAGTTACCACCCGGCCGGGCCGCCGCTGGTGGTAGTTGCATGACCGGCGCTTTTGGGTGCTATTTTGGGCGGCCAGAGACAGAGTCAGAGGACAGCTGTAATTGTTTCCTCCCGGGCTGCGCCCGCTGATTTGTGTGGGTGAGACCGCACAGGTGTCGGACCGCCGCCGACCGCAAACAGCTTGAGCAGCAGGGGGAGATGGCACGTTCCGGGGTACAGGTCTGAGGGGCGTGCCGGGCCGGTGCCGAGCTCCGTAATCGGCCGGCCGGACCGATTGCAGCGCGGCGGCCGGACCGATTGCAGTACGGCCGGCCGCCTATCTCGGCTATCGTGTTTGTTTGGTGCCGGCTGACGGCCGTTGACTCAGCCGTGTACCATGCGACGGCCGCTGCTGTGGCATCCCGCAGCGGACCGATCCGTCCACCGGTCTGCCTGACTCATCTGTTTGGGGCTGCGGAGCGTGCGGCTGGAGTAACGTAAGGTGCTGACGGGGGCCGACTCACACTACCCAGACCTGGTGGAGCCCCGAGCTGCCGGTGTGAATCACCTGTTCCATATACAGAGTGTAGAAATCCGCACGGATGTCACAGTCGCGAAGACTGCCGGCTCCGGATTCACCTATGCTGTTCTAAACACCTGCTGACGGTCCGACTCCGCACACACCCACCCCGGTCCCGCGACTGCCGAGGGCCTCGGTGCCGAATATGTCCTCTGTACCGGACCGGTCCGCTGAGATGACCCTGTGTCGGCCCGCGGTCGGTTGTTGTCTCTCTACCCGGACCCCGGAAGCGGCAGAGTCCAGTTGATCCCCCACCCGGACCCCGGAATCGAAAGGCTTTGACAGAGTCCGGGGTGACAGACGGCTCGAGGAGAGACTGAGAGAGCTCCGTGTCACCGACACTGACAGGGGACGGCGGTGATAGTGTCACTCTGGCAGATCCTGTCAGTCAGCTGGTGTCATCACTGTCAGTCTCTCCTCTAGGCGGTGTCACTGACGCGAGCTACCGCTGCCTCCGTAGCTCTGCGCAAGGGTGGCAGATAGGTCGGTCGGCGGGCAGCCGGCAGCAGCGAATGAGTTGTCCGAGCCGGGCCACTACCGCCGGCGCTGTTACGAAACGAGACCGGCTGCAGCGTTTCCAGAATGCATAAACCGACCCAGCTAATGAGGTTGCACTGCAGCACAGTTTCTATCGTGCGAGCATGTAATTTGTTGACAGTGAATTGCGGGGATTCTCACTCTGCAGTTTCTAGAAGTAGGTGCCTCAGGTGTTAAGTCACGCGGCTAGCGTCATTTTACTTGTATTGTCGATGTCTTTTGTGTGATTGTCTCGTCTGTCTGGCTGTGACCTGTGACCACCCTGTGACGAGGGCGGGGAATGGAATTGTGGACGACAGTCGACAGCTGTAAATGAGCGCGTTTTTCAGTGTGCGTGTGCTTTGTGCGCCGCGTTGTCGCCGTTCACGCACTGTGCGCCGTGGGACCGTGTGCGTGTGACCCCGCACCTGTGTGCGGCTGACCCAGTTTCACCGGCGGCCGTCATCGTCTGACTGACACGTGTCTCCGCTCTGCAGGGCCACTCCGACCTTACAGCACGTGTTGTACGCCGACCCGAGCTTCACGCACGCCAACGAGGTGCACCTGAGGCTCGGCCTGATCCACAAGGTGTGCGGAGAGTTTAAGGCCGCCTACAAGAGGTTTCAGCTAGTGCTCAACGACTCGACCGAGTGCACGCTCTCCCGGCACGAGAGTGAGTATTGGGGCAGACGGGGCTGGGGGCAGGGAAGAGGGGCGGGGAGTCAGATGTATTGCACGCGTATTGTGCAGGCTCGTGCGTTGTGTACGTAGGTCCTCTTGCTTGGAGCTTGCATGTAGTATTTGGCACTTATTTGGCGTGTCGAATGCAGCACGTTGTTTAGTGTTTCACTACCCACCCGTTCACACGCTCTTGCGCTAGCCTCTAGGCAGTGAGCTTTTGATTCACAATCGCCAGTCTGGCTGTTGCACTGAGTGGGGCACCCACTATCCACTACTCAGTACCTTCGGCACGGCAGAATTCATTGGCATAATATAACGTGACGTTGAAGTGACATTAGGCGGTGTCACGGCCGATAGGTCCGCACGTGCTGACACCCTCTGGCCCAGTTTGCAGCCATTCTTGGCACTGGGGGCAGGCCCGTCCGTCACTCAGTGTCTGTCAATGTGTCCGTCCGTCAGTGTGTCCGTAGGCCGCACGATCTAGTGGATTCGTCCGTCCGTTTGTCCGTCAGTATGAGGCCGCTCCGGGCGGATCGATACGCCGGCCTGTCCACGGTACCACCGTCCATTCCACCTCCGCTCCCTGTCTCTGCAGGAGAGAGTTGAGTACAGCAGGGTAGAAGTTCAGTAGGTCTGCCGGGGGTGATTAGATGTTCCGTGCCAGACAGGGTTACCGTACTCAGTGAATCCCCAATCAGCTAGGTCACGGGGTCTATGGGGCGCTCGGTTCACACCTCGAGGCGAGCACGTCGAGGAAGCTCGGTGTACCGCGCGTCACGGGCTGTTATGATGCGTCAAGGACGTCACGGGATGGCGCCGGGGATGTCCGGGAAAATGTGACTCCGTGGGAGGGACCGGGGAGTTTTCCCTGCAGGCGCCGCCTTGGTGGATGATGTAGTGTGTCTCGTAGAACTCTGAAGGATTGTCGTCAATGACCTGATCGCCTCACCTGCATCGGAAAGCTGTAGGTCAGGAAATTACGTGCGGCGGGACGTTCGCCGAAAGCGCCGTTCGCGTTAGCGTGGTCCGTTAGTGTGAGCACTCGGCGCGCGGACCGTGACAGCGGCCCGGCGGTTTCCGTGAAGTGCTAAGCCGCGTTGATAGCGTGCTGTTCGATGAAGCTATTACAGGCGCGGCCGAGCTGGACTGCGGGCTAGGTGTGAACGAGTGGCCAGATCGGAGCTGGCGGAGCGCAGGACACTGAGAGGGTCAGAATATAGCCGTACCGTTACAGTTACCGTATTAGCGAGTATACTCGGGTTGCGTAACGAAGAAATCCATTATAAGTGAGAGCAGAAATACCCTTTCAACAACGCGAGTGTATTTCTGTACCGAAAGACGTCAGCGAAGGGGAATGGCTATTCCAACATCCCCCCCCCCCCGCCCACCGGTTCTGCTAACACCTTGGCGGTATTTCTGTACCTACTACCTTTTGACGTCAGTAGACACTTCTCATGACTGGCCGCCCACGGTACCGATCGATTGACAACTCGGCTCGAGTCGTGTCTCTGAGTTTCTGCCATTTTTTCCGCGTCTGGCCGGTGGCGGCGATGGGGCAACTGTTGGCCGCTGACTGCAGTCTGGAGCCGTGCCGGCTAGCAACGCTGGCGCCGCTGCCAAAGATCGACCTGTGGCCGCTCAGCCGGTGAGACCATCGCCGCCGGGTCGGGAATAGACCGCCGAGCACCGGTCGGTGCACTGCCAAATCTCGGCCACTGCTGCTGGGAGCCAACCGGCAAACGTCGGGCCGCCGCCCTCCGCCCACCGCGCGGCATCCACCGCCCGTCGCCGGCCCGCGGTGTGTATTCCAAACAAATCTGCCACGCGCACCGCCGCGCCGTGCCGTCTGCCGGGATCCTGGTCTGGCTCTGTCGCCACCCTGCCCTGCCCCCTCCCCCGCGGCCCCCCTTCCAGCAGGCAGAGACCACTCCTGTGGTCTCTCCCACTGAATGTTACTCCCTCAGTTCCCCAAGCCTACTGTGCTGCGTCATGTCAGGTACTGAATTGTGCCGTCAGCACCGCTCATATATCGGGAAGGAAAACGGACGGGAAAGCGACCTGTTGGCAGCTGTGCTAGGCTGATGACACGGGAATCAATACGGGAAGACCGCAGTAGAAGCGGGGTTAACTGATGTAGGTACGGTAACTATGGATAACGCTGACACCTCGTACAATTCCTCACACCTCTGTGGCGGCTCTGACTGGTGTTTATCCTGTGCGAACTAGAGGGCGTGCCGCGCCGTGGACTCTGGACCGATTTGGTCACACCAGTGATCAGGACCGAGTGCTTACGTTTTCGATGACCATCACGGGCCGCCGGGCCGGTCGGTGCCGGCCGCCGGCCGGTCGTTGCTAGCCGCTGGCGCTGGACCCGGCGGCTATAGATAGCCGGTGGCGGCCGCTGCCGGTGCGTTCACCGACGACCGGTGACGTCAGACTGGGCCAGTGACGTCAGTGACGCCGAGTGATGACGTCAGTGGGTGTGCCGCTCATGGGCGGGGCAGGAGGGGCGGGGCTGCACCACGATAGTGAGACCGTCGTCCTGTTAAACAAACACAACTGACGGCGCCCGCCGCAGTTCGCCGCAGACTGCAGAGTCCCGCCAGCAGGCCTTTGGCTGAGCTATAGGCTCTCCGCCAGCGCCTGTGGCTGCGCTAAGCCCTTATGAGACTCGTTGTCCGGCACCGGTCCCCTGAGTTGTCAGGAATGCCGACGCCGTCGCGATGCGCGCTGGAATGCCACGCGGCTGTGCGGTCGCGGTCGCGGTCGCTCGGTCGTGGTCGCAGCTCGCGGTCGTAACAGTACTCCCACCAGGACTGGCAGCATTCATTGGCACTCCTAGGCAACCCTCGCGTCACCTGTGACGTCGCGTCACCTGTGACGTGGGTCTGTGACCCTGGACTGATGACGGTGGACGGTGCAATGATCTGCCGCTGGCTCGGTCGGCGTCGGGCGTGATGAGATGATGAGATGGCGCCGCCCTGCCAGGAATATCTCGCCTCAAAGCGCATCGTATGACCGCGGTATTTACCGTGAGGCGTGTTTAGTGTTTACGTCAGTTTCCAGACAGTGATCAGCGCTCTTTGAGCGACCGCCCAGAGTTTACGTAAAAGAGGATTGGTTTCCTGGTATGTCTTTGAGGCGGTTTAAAATGTGGCAATTTAAAGTATTATTCAATATAACTCGAGGCTATGTCTCCCTCCTTCTCGGTCATGAGGCGATAGCGACTCCGCCTGAGCTCGGTGCAGATATGTTATCCTTCCACTTCACTGTGAGCAGTGGGACGCCGGCGGGGAACCACCCCGTCCGCCCTGCCCATCCTGATAGCCTATGTTCCGTCAGTACGGCCCCGGATCGGCCGCGTTCAGTACCCGGCGGCGCGTTCAGTGTCAGTGTCCGCCACCTATGTGACAGTGCATCGGGAAGGTCACTCGCCCGGCCCGGTAGAAGGCAAGGGTTAGTTTTTATGCGGCGCGTTTGGTGTGGTGTGTCAGATCTAGCGGTAGTTTCCGTGAGTGAAAACTCTGGCTGACGAGGAAGTTTTACGGTATGTAGCGCGACATTGAGCGTTACCGGTATTCGTGACCAGGCTAAACAAGTGTCCAAGCGACGGCTTAGTGAGTTTGCCTTGGATACCATTGTTTATCGGAGTGTCAAGTTTGTCGGAAATCGCTGCCTTGCAACAAGGATGTTTATCAAAGAGCCTACAAACCTATGCCAACGCCAGGACGTTGACCGACTGACGACTGTGTCCGCTTGGTGTTTACCCGTCGCTGTTCTAACCCCGTTCTCTCGGTCCGTTTTCAGTTCTGTTTCATATCGCGCACCTGCACGAGGTAGTGGGCCGTCCGCGCGCCGCGCGCCAGCGCTACGAGGCTCTCCTACAGGAGGAGGACCTCTCCGCCTCGCTCAAGGACCACATCCACCGTCAGCTCGGCTGGCTCTTCCACAGTGTCGAGGCTTTCGGCGAGAAGGCGCGTCGAGAGGAGCAGGCAGTCACGCACCTGAAGCGCGCGCTCGAGTTCGCGCCAAAGTCGTCACGGACGCTGTACCTGCTCGGCCGGTGTTACTCGAGCATCGGCAAGGTACACGAGGCGTTCCAGGCTTACAAGCAGTCGGTGGTGTGCTCCGAGGCGAACGCGGACACCTGGTGCTCCATTGGGTGAGTTCTCCGAGCACGCAGCGAAACGTGGTGCTCCACCGGGAAAAGAGGCTCTCTCGGGTTGATGGGGGACTCTACGCAGCATTAGGGTATCTGGCCAGGGGCCTCTAGGTATGAAAGACTTCCATTGTTATGTAATCTCAAATACCGACGACGAACCTCATGGAACTCTTCCCTGTATGACCCCGCTCTTTTCCCGAAACTCTTGCCTCATGCGGACCCCTTTAGTGGATTTCCACTGCTGCGTCACAAATCGTACCCAGACGGCCGGAAAGTCATCTTCCCTTCGATGTTGCAATGCAATGAACAAGGTCACTACGTACGTCAGTCATGTGGTCAGACAGGGACGGGTTCGGCCTGTCTGACCAGTATGCGCCTGTTCTCATCAGCCACATTGTAAACATGTCTCGGTTTATATCAGCATAACCCGAATGTACTCGTATATCGGAGTGGAATGATGACAGAAGCCTACTACGCCCTCGCTGCATCCCAGATCATCGGTGGGTTCCTCCTGATGCACTGCAGCTCCGTGTCTCTCCTGTTGTCTTACGTCCTGTCTCCGGATTCCTCCGTGTGTACTGTGTACCCTGTTCCGTCTCAGTGGGTATCAGCGAACTGAAGCTCCTCTCCCGTTCCATGTCTGTGCAATCTACACTCCTCAGCCCTGGGTCTCCCCTCCAAGTTTCCCGTGTTTGTCCGGTGGCTGACGGAGCCGTCTCCGCTCCCCCAGCGTGCTGTACCAGCAGCACAGCCAATATATGGACGCCCAGCAGGCCTACATATCAGCCGTGCAGCTGGATAAGACGCACAAGGCCGCCTGGACTAACCTCGGACTACTCTACGAGTCTGTGTCGCATCCAAAAGACGCGCTCGCCTGTTATATCAACGCTTCAGAGGACGACCCGAAGCTACAACCGCGCATCAAGTTTCTTCAACAGCAGCTTGCCAACGCGCCACAGCCAGCCGTCAACAGCAGGTGAGCTGGGACCGCGCCCTGACGTCATGTCCCGTGACCGGCCGCGTGCCGTCACGGATGACGTCATCAGACGTCTGGTTGGCAAAGTGCGGCCGTCCAGGGGTCTGGGAGGTGGGTTACTGTACCGTGTGTGCCGTACGCGCTGTGATCTCAGTGGGCGTCGCTCCAGCTCTCTGTTAGTCCGGGCTGCGTTTCCGGTTCCGGCGGCCTCGCCGGGAGGGGGAGGGTGGGGGCTCAGCGCCGCCGGAACCGGAGCCACCGCCGCCGCCGCCGCCGCCTCCGCCTCATGGCGTACTACAGCGGGCCGCGCCGCCGCCGGCGCTGAGCCGAGCGCCAGTCGTGAGCCGGCGGCGGCGGACGGCGGGCGGCGCGGGACGGCAGTCGGGCGCCGGCAGCGGACCGCGGCGGACGGGCGCGCAGCGGGTGGAGCCGAGCGGACAGGGAGAGCAGACAGCAGCGGCCCAATGTGCCGGGTGTGTGACAGCGGCGGGATGGTGTCTGTGTGCGCGCAGCCATTGACGGGCGCCGTGTGCCCCCTGACACCCTCCGACAGACCGTGCCGACTGCCGCCCATCGAGGAGGCATGGAATAAGAACACCAGCTCGGAGATGAACCGCGAGACGCAGAAACTGCAGCCGGCCGCGCAGGCCGCCAAGCTGGCCCAGCAGCAGCAGCAACAGGTCAGTGTCACGGTAGTCTAGACTAGCTGACGGACTAGGCGGGAAGTGATCTCGGGAATTGTGGATGGATAGTTATGTAGGGACTAATGTGTTCCAACTAAGGAACGGGAACTCAGACTAAGAATAAGGACGGAGTACGGCGAATGGAGGATGTCTGGGTAAACGTTACTGTGTTTAATAGGCTTAGCAGACATTCGCCGTCCCTAGTATTTCAGTAAGCGTTTCTGTCTAAAAAAGGCTTAGTCAACTAAATTACTTATGAGGGACTTTCGTTAATATTTAAGTAAGCACCGTTTCAGAGATAACCTTATAAGCCTCGGACACTTTCTTTGTGATTGATGACTCATTTTCTCGAGAGCCAGAAGTTGGTCCTTTGCATCCGATCCAGTTGCGGCTGTTTTCATTAGTTAATTTTATTCCGGTCTGCTCTGTTTTATCCGGGGATCTGATTCCGGCTCTGCTGGCTAACGTTGGCATCCTGCGCCCCTCTGACGTCTATAAGCCGATCTGGGAGTGGGAACATTCTCTCGGCTGTGATTCTCGGAAAATAACTACTCTGCTTTAGTGTGGGCTCACTCGGAGACTTCTAAACACTCGGACTATTCTGAGCTCCCCTCGTACATTAATTACGGTAGTTATTTACTCCTGCGTGTGTTGCTAGCTGCTCCCGGGCCACTGCTGGTGAATACTGTGCCTCACCAGTGACTCGGTTTGGGAGTATTGTTTCCGCTAGCTCGCGTGTCGGCATTCGGTCTGTGAGCGGTTTGTAAATCGCTCGGTCGCCTTTCGTGACCTTGCCACTGCGCCCAGTGACCGGTGCAGAGACCGACTTTCGGCAGAGGGTGGGAGGGACGGGCAGAGGGCGGAGGGCATCGCGTATCACGTCTAGCGGTCCGCCAGCCGCCGGTTGGTGATAATTAGTGCCGTGGTGAATGGCTCCCATGCGGGTCCCGGTGGCATCTTTGGCATGTGGCCCACGTGGTTCGGCGTGGCGCGGCGCCTGCACATGGGACCGCAATGGAGAGGAGTGGCTGGGCTGCCCTGTAGAGTGGATGGGGAACTCCGTGACTAGCAAGGTGACTTTCCCGGGCCGCGGTATAACATGCAATGCCTAAAGCTTGATAGGTTCTGGTTCGGGGCTGAAGTGGTATGCCTCACTAACTGCCCAATAAATTGTGGATGGACAGGGATGTCCACGGGTGTTGATGGTCCACGGGTCGGAACATAACCGTATAGTGTGCCGATGACGGCCATCCATCCGCCCGCTCCATAAAGACAAGGTACCAGGGTTGTGCTTGACTCATGAGTCGAGTCAGAAATTTGACTCAACTCTGACTCAAATGAGTCAGGGTTGAGTCGAGTCGGATAAAATGTTGAGCTGTTGAGTTGAGTCAGAGTTGAGTCGGACAAAAATATTAAGGTGTTGAGTTGAGTCAGAGTTGAGTCAGTAAAATAACTTTTGACATTGAGTTGAGTCAAAAACATTTAGGAACATGAGTCAGCTGACTCACCTTTCTAGAAACATAAATATATAAGCTTTTCATTCTCCCCTCGCTTAACAGCTTAGGCCTGGCCTTGCTGCCGAATTTTGTTCACCCCCCCGCTCAACAGCTTTTTTATATGAGTCAATTTTGAGTCAACACACTTGACTCAACAAAAAATTTGAGTCAAGTAATTTGAGTCAACTCATATTTTCATTGAGCCGCTTGAGTCATGAGTCGAGTCAAGGGGAAAAAATCAGCTCCTTGTTTGAGTCAGAGTTGAGTCAGGGCTTTCTGAAGTTGAATGCTGAGTCGAGTCGGCAAATTTTTTTGAGTCGAGCACAACCCTGCAAGGTACTCGGTCTAGCTATCGAACCTTGTATGTATGTCCTTATAGTCACATAGAGGACACACAAAGCTCCATCAGTCTAGAAATGGATTACCTACATATTGGGCGGGTCACATGGAGCAAGCTCATCCGTATTTGAACTTTGTTTCCTATGCATCGTTCTCACATTTCGCGACCGTAACCGTGACCGAATTCTGTCCATTTTCTTGCAGCGTGGCTTCCCGACGCCAGGGATGTCGCCACCCCCGTACCCCGGAGCCCAGACAGGCAACGCGGCAAAACGCTTCAAAGTAAGTGACTACTAACACGCGGACTGAGAGTCACGTGTTAGCTGTTAGAATCACACAAAGGCCTGGACAATTTTTTGCTCATCCCAGATCGACTGAGCGTCAGTTTTTTTGTCGATACGTGTGCTTTGGATGGCGTTGAATTGATTGTTGTCCGTATGTCGAGCGCTCATCATTGTAATTTGGCCCAATTCATGTCAAATCAAACGCGAGATCTGATCTGTCTATGGTGGTTCTTGTTAGTGGTTATATAATCAGGCATATACACAGCTTATATAATGCCATACACCTCTTAGACTATATGCACTAAATGTATAAATACGGGCATTCGGTTAAATTTCGTCCGTTGTTTAATATTTCTGATATATCAATACATTTTTGCATTTCTGACTGGTTTTCTGCATCTGTGGGTGTCTGTGTGTTCCATTTGTTTTACTCGATAGATCACAGTTGGATACCGATGTGACGATATATTTGTCTGTATTTCTGAGGCTAGAACCCCGAGTGATTATGTCTGACCGGTCTCTGTCCCTCCTGACAGCCTGGTGAGCCGGTGGAGGCGGCCGGTGTGCCGGCGGCGCTGGCGGCCCAGCGCCGCACACCGCCCCAGTACTACCTGAGTCACCAGCAGTTGCAGCTGCTCCAGTACCTGCAGAGTCAGAGTCAGCTGAGTCCGCAGCAGCAGAGCCAACTCAACCAGCTGCAGCACCAGTATAGGTGAGTGAGGATATCCGTCTGCCCGTCCATCCGTCCATCCGTCCATCCGTCCATCCGTCCGTCCGTCCGTCCGTCCGTCCGTCCATCCATCCGCCCGCCCGTCGTCCGGTCGTATGTTGCTCCTGTATTCCTGCACATTTGTAATTCGCCCCGCCCGACTTCCTCTACCGGAGCCGGTGCAGGTGGCCGGTGCAGTTTCCCACGCCGGACCTCCATCCGGTAGTTTGACACAGGTCCACTTCATTCAGTGGTACCGCCGGTACATGTAAATATGATGAGCCCTCCCCCTCTCTAGCCGCCGGATCTGGTCCCTACTATCCACCTGTCATGCTTGAAAGGCGAGGGAAATGTTGCTAAAACATGCCCACAAAGGATTGATACGTTGACTATCATTTGACGCTTTTTTAAAGGTAGCAGTGTTCGTTAGAGCTTTGGCACCGTAATTTTATTCAATATTACTTTGCTAATATTTATTGGCAGCGCGGATATTTTTGTAGCCTCCAAGCGTCCCAGTAACAACCAACTTTGCTTCCTCACAGGATGATGCAGCAGCACCAGCAGCAGATGCGGCTCCAGCAGCAGCAGCAGCAGCAGCAGCAGGCGTCGCCGCGGTTCCCGCAGCAGGCTGGCCAGCCGCCGGTGGCCTACCCCCCTCAGCAGCCGCAGCAGCCGCAGCAGCAGCAGCCGGCGCCGCCGCCCCCTCCACCGGCCCAGACGGCTGCCTTCAGCAGCTTCCCCTCCAACGGCGGTAGCTCGGCAATAGCTGGCAGCGATGTGGCCAGCATGAGCGAGCGCGAGCTGGCGCAGCTGCTCACTCAGAAGGACCTGGCCGCCAGTCTTGCCGAGGATCTCATCAAGCAGTTCGCGCAGACGGGCGACCTCGGCCTGGAGGCGTTGGCCGGCGGCGACACCAAGCCGCTGCTGGACGGGCTGGAGTCGACCCCGGCGACCGAGCCGCAGCGGCCGGCCGAGCCGACTGCTCCTACAGCACCAGCCGGCGAGTCGCAGCCGGACGCGAGCCGCACCAAACCACGCCCGTCGGCGCTCACTCGGGCGGACCTGAAGGTGAAGGTGGAGCCGGCGCGCACCCAGCCCTCGTTCCACATCGACATGACGGCCGCCGAGGTGGCGGAGGCGTGTGTCGGGCTGGGTCAGAGCGGCGTCGGTAACCTGTCCATTCTGGAGGAGGACGCTGCGCCGCCGGCGCCGGCCGTTCCGCCGCGCACCGTGCTCCGCAGGGACCAGCTGCTGCAGCAGACGCCCTCGGTGTTTGTCGAGAACAAGAAGGAGGCGTTCAGCCCACAGATGCAGGAGTTCTGCCTCAAGAACCCCATCGCCGTCATCCGGGGGATGGCAGCCGCGCTCAAACTCGGTAAGACTCTCGGCGAGAACCGGCGAACTTTGCCCAGATAAATGCCAATAGGTAAGAGGCGTAATTGGTGCAATGGATAGTGACAATGCGAATTGTTGCGGGTTTTCCTACTCATCACTTTAGACTTTCAGGGCACGGTAGACATGGAGGGCTAGGGTTGAGATATTGCGCCTTCGCGGGGTGGAAAGTCAATAGGTGGTGCCGCGATTAGATAGTGTCCTGGGTGGGGCGCACTGAAGTGTATACTTAACGCTGCAGCGTGGTTAAGTGTTGAAGTGTGTACTTTTCGACCGATAAACATTCGCTCCCCCCGTGGACTTTGACACATAGTCAGCCGACGCGATGGGCGGGGTTGAGTGTGGATTGCACTTGAGCTACGAGTTCTAACCGGAATAGCGTGCAGTCTGCTTAACCAGGCCTGCCAGATATGATTAGATTGCCGCCCTCCCCGTTCGACTTTCGCTCGGTATATGGTTCGCCCTGTTCACCAGCTCGTCAATATGTACTGAACACTCAGCGACATTTGACCATGCACAGCATCCCTCAGATTTTGACCTGCCTCCCTCAGCTCCATTAGCACTCAGCGACAATGCTCCCTGTAACTGTCAATGACCTGATCTCTCTCCCTCGACAGATCTCGGCCTTTTCTCGACCAAAACGCTGGTGGAGGCGCACCCGGAGCACGCGGTGGAGATCCGAACTCAGGTGTGCCAGTCGTCGGACGAGAATTGGGACCCGACCTTTACCAAGAAGGTGTGGGGCTGCATGTCGTCGCGCAGCCACCTGACGACGGCCAAATACGCCCACTACCAGGCGGCTACCTTCACCGACAGCCTACGGGTAAGTGGCGGCGGAACGGTCCGAGTGGCGGGTTAGGGCTGGTGGCGACTAGCGGGGGAAGGATGGGATGACCTCTGGATTTATAGTGATCGGGAGGTGACGTGGGATGGTCTCTGGGCAAGTGATAGGGGAGGTTAGGGTGAGCTTTGGGCCAGTAATGGGTCGGTAGTATCCGGAAAGGAAGGGCGATCTTTGGGTCAGCTCGGGACGAGAAGAAATTACATGGTCACTATATCATTAGCAGACGAATGGCTGCTGAGCCGTGACTTGAGGGGTACCTGTAGGAACACGGCGGGGGGGGGGATGAAGTGATTCCGGGGTTGTTAGCGAACCCATCAGTTAACCGGATGTGTGGTAGGATCATTTATAGCGAGAGCGAGGAGGGCGGTTAGTTGAAATTCGTTATGTTTGGAACTCCCGGTTTGGAAGGTCCGGGAGTGTTTCGGTATACACACGGAAGTCTGGGCATTAAAATCCCTTCGTGAATAGAACATGACTAGAAGTCTATTCATCGGGCTGGTTTAGTTCAACGTTTCATAGTCATTACTGTAAATATCGTTTGCATTACATGCGGGAGCGTTATATTTGTTGGCTACTTTCCTTGCTTACAGCGAACTGCTGTGATTCCTGGGGCATGCGGAGGGGCCGGTAGGTATAGCCGGGTTGGGTAATCTCTTAGGTTACGGTTGGTGTGGGGTACCAGAGCCAGTTGTTTGTCCCACGGGTCCGGGTACAGGTCACAGGGGTCACTGTCAGTGCAGTAGTTCAGTCGGAAGTAGATCTATTGCTCGGGGACATCCCGGCCGTCGTTCCTCAGGACTAAACCAGATATTGCCGCCACTGACCTTCGATCTGAGCCTTTGTGACCTGTGACCAATGGTCAGCTGACCGCCGGTCATAGTTTGTTCTGGGATTTATTCCTTGCGTCGGATACTATGTCGTGACCTTTCCTTGTGACCTGACCTTTCATAATAGGTCGGGCTACCACCATAATAGGTGGTAGCTGTTCTGCGGTGACCTGACCCGGACGTACCCACCTTGAGCTTTGAGGACTTATACTTCCTGTGACCTTTCAACGTGAACTTCAAATGACCTTCCAACCTGAAATCTCCAAAATTATTTTCTGCATTTCCGTACTCTGACCTTTCCTGTCTGACCCTGACCGACCGTCCACTGACCTCCGTGACCAGCCGCTGACCCGCTCCGTTCTGACCTTTCCAAACCCAACCACTGACAACCGACTGTTCTCCATTGACAGGAGGAGCAGGAGAGCAAAACGACGGCAGCCGCGCACCGCGACTCGGACTCCGACTCTCGTGACTCGTTCTCCAAGTACCAGCGTCTCGGCAAGAAGCGTGGCCACAAGACCATCAAGTTCGGCACCAACGTCGACCTCAGCGACGAGAAGAAGTGGCGGCCACAGCTGCTCGAGCTGATGAAGCTGCCGGCCTTCTGTCGTGTCGTCTCGGCGGGAAACATGCTCAGTCATGTTGGACACCCGATCCTGGGCATGAACACCGTACAGCTGTATATGAAGGTGCGTACCGAGCAGTCTGATTGAGGTGGGGAGGGACAGAGAAGGTCATAGGTCCTCTTCTTACCGTGTGGAAGTAGAATTTGTACCATAAATGATAATAGCGAGTCATGGCTCTTGCCTTCTCTGGTAACCCGAAACTTAAATTCACCGAATTATTATTTCTGCTCTGTAGCAATAACCGGTCTGTGTATGTAGGAAAGTTTGAATATGGCTTGAGCTAAAACAGAACTGTTCACGATGAGTCCCCGGGGAGTGTTATGTAAAGGAATGACTGATGTAAAGCCGGTTAATCGGCTATTCCACTCTCGAGTTTGTTGCATCATAAGTTATTTCAACTCTCATCTGCCAATGATTTTCAGTACCACACTTCCGTCAGCTTGTCGTTTCCTATACAAGCCGCTAATCGGTCCCTCTTCTTGCCGCCGTTCTAACCTTGTTCACCCTCCGACAGGTGCCGGGCAGTCGAACGCCGGGTCACCAGGAGAACAACAACTTCTGCTCCATCAACATCAACATCGGCCCCGGAGACTGCGAGTGGTTTGGTGTGCCGGACGCCTACTGGGGCGTCATCAACAACCTCTGCGAAAAGTGAGTGCTCGCTGCTAGCGGCAGACTTGACTGGTGATGGCCGGTAGAGCCCCGTCGACATAGTCCACGTTAAATAGCCTTGGCAGTCGTTGTAGCGTGGTTAAGCTCTGAATGCGATGCATTGTTTGTCGTCAAGTTCGTCTGACGAAATAACAACGGGAATATTCCATTTGCGCACGCAAACAGCTCGTTTTTATCACAGTTCTGCATTCCTGATGATGGGCCGAGTTGATAAGTCATTTTATCGCGCATAATTGGCCATTTTATCGCGCATAGTTGGCTGGTTCGCTGTCTAAATCTCCCGACCATACCATCCCAGTTGTATTATCCGTGTAGTTACTAACCCCCGCCCCGCTCGTCCCGGCAGGAACGGCATCTCGTACCTGCACGGCTCGTGGTGGCCGGACATGGACGAGCTGCTGGACCACGGCGTGCCCGTGTACCGGTTCATGCAGCGGCCCGGCGACCTGGTCTGGGTGAACACGGGCTGCGTGCACTGGGTGCAGGCGTCCGGCTGGTGCAACAACATCGCCTGGAACGTCGGACCGCTCACCGCCCGCCAGCACCGGCTGGCCGTCGAGAGGTACGAGTGGAACAAGCTGCAGCGCTTCAAGTCGATCGTGCCCATGCAGCACCTCAGCTGGAACCTGGCCAGGAACATCCGCGTCTCCGACCCCAAGCTGCACAGGAGCATCAAGTGAGTGGCTCGGGGCTTATGCGGGGGAGGGTTTACCTCTGTGGCTGTGGGATCAGGCGAAGGACTGACTCCCTGAGGCGCTAGGCTTGGTATAGTGTATTGACATGGGGCTCATCTAAATGAAATGGTGACATTTGACGGGCATAGTTTGCTTGGCTAAGGATAGCCACCGGAAATATTGATTGTAAGTAGTTGTTCGTCCGTGGATTGTTTAAAGAGCATTGTTCAGTATGTGTTACGCAAAATGCCAGGGATAGGTCAGACGACTTAGTATTGTAGGGTAAGAATAGCACTCGGTCTCGCAAACTGTCTTTAAGTAACGAGTCTCATGTCAAGTCTCGCAATACTCTTCACAGTATCCCTAAGAATAGAACTTGTCGGCTGATAGCCGCATCCGTGTCCAGCACCGACTGACCCCATACCTCCTCGTCGTCAGGACGGTGCTGCTGAAGGGCCTGAAGCAGGTGATGATGATGATCGAGTTCACCAAGGCGTGCAACGTCGACATCCGCTTCCACGGCCGGGGCAAGAACGAGAGCACCCACTACTGCGGCGTCTGTGAGGTAAGGCTCGATCGGGCTGGGAAGAGGGCGAGACGGGACACAGTAGTGACAGGGTACGGGGATATGACTGCTGTATATTCTGAAGTCATACCGAGACTTGAATGTTTCCTGTCCGAACGCTGGCTCCGGGCGTCTATAAGAGTGCTCAGTTCACGAATTAAGTAAATGTTTAGTCTGGTTTGCGTCATAGCGCGGACCGTGCGTTCATTTTCAGCATGTCAGTTCACTCACTGACCATGCATCTGGTAGACTTCACTGTGTTTTGTTCGCTTGATAACATTTTACCCTGCCTCCCACGAACAATTTTCCCACGCCCTGCTATACTCTGCATACCGACGGTCAATATCCGTTCCAGATTCGTCTGGAACGGATATAACTCTGTTTAAGATTCACAAACTTCGACGGCCCTGGCTACGTTGTTGAGTATATTTCCGTCGCTGTTGCATTTTCCGTTCCCCCCGTCTAACTCCCCCGTCTTCCGTCCGTCCTCAGATGGAGGTGTTCAACCTGCTCTTCATCAAGGAGCACGAGAAGCGTCACGTGGTGCACTGCGTGGACTGCGCGCGCCGGCACGCGCCCCGCCTGGCCGGCTTCATCTGCCTGGAGGAGTACAAGCTACAGGAGCTGCAGGACGTCTACGACAACTTCCAGCTGCACGTGGTGAGTCTGTGTGACGCGCTGGGATGCTGCGGGCCGCTCCTCAGCGAGGGAGAGGTGTCTAGCGTCTTCTGTGCTCCTGTGACCTGTGGTGTTAGCAGAAGGAGCGTGCCGTTGTTGAATATAAATGATAGGAACGTATTCAATCACCGGCTGCTGCAACTGAAGTGTTTGAATGAATTTGCATACGTCGGGTGAACGAGTTTCTTGTTGAGTCATTTATCCATTCATACCTGTAGACCGCGAACATGGCTGAGTCATCAATTATGATAAACTGGCACCGATAGAGATGATTCCAAGCGTTCCAGTGCAGACGGAACTCATACGAACGGTACTCTGTGCTGTCAGCTAATCGTCAGTGGTGTCTCTCATGTTCCACCGCCGCTGTTCCCCGCTCTCCCCAGCCTGCCGGTTGGTCTCGCGTCTCCCCTACTCTCTCCACCTCCGCTGACTCTCTCCCCTCTCTCCCCAGCCGCCGATGGCTCCGCCGGCGTGACAGAGTGCGTGCGGCGGCCACCCGCCCAGTCCGGCGTACAGCCGCGCCTCCAGCAGCAACACCTCCTGGGCGCTCGGCTCGCCGGCGTCTGCTCAATAGGCGGCCACCGACCGTCACTGCCAGCCGCGGGCGGCCCCGTGGCGACACACAACTACCTGAGGACGTACCAGAGCTACGCCGCCAGTCGTAGCCGCATAGCACAGTGATATCAAAAGACTCGCGCGCGAGCGCTGGGGGACAGAGCGGTTTTCTAGTGTTGTTCTATTATTAGTGGGAGTTTGAGATGTCTCACAAACGATAGCCGGTGACGCGTTCGTCGCCGGCCGCCTATACAGAGCCACTGCCATCAGACAGATTACCCTGTCTGCGCCACAGTTCAGTGTCGATCTCCGCTCGTCAGAGGAACGAGTGACAGTTGTCCCACGCAGCCGCACCGCCTCCGCTGAGAAAACTATCGCGTGTGAGCGACTTGTTGTAGTTGTCCCAGCTGCCGTCAGGGCGGCGCCACCGTGCAGTCTGGTCGTGTACATGCGTTCTGTACATATGTGTAGATGTTTATACGGCGGCGAAATCTGCCCCACGCGTCATTTGTAAGTAAGCAGATCCTATTTATTTGACATGAATTACATCTCGCCATTGAATGGACTGAAGAAGGCATCCTCTCGATCTCCATCGCGCACGACTGAAAATGGCCGCGCCTGTACCATAAGACATATGCGCGCGCGCCACGTGTTTGTATGTATGTATGTTTGTGTGTCAGCTTTCACTCGGGGCGTGTTGTATGTCTCTGTGTGCGTCGTTCAACGCGCGGGCCCCGTGTGTTGTGAGCGCCCGCCACCGCGCCTGGCCGGCCGGCCGGCCCTCCTGCCTTCACCAGTACACAGCGCGAGCGAGGCGGGGCGGCGGCCCCTACCTCAGACCGCCCGGCCGCCGCCCGCCGCCACCAGACGTCAATACAGGCCACGGAGAGACTAAACGGAGTGTGTGAGACGGTGGACAGGCGACAGTCAGAGGGTAGTGGGCACAGGTGGGCGAGAGGCGATGGAATGAGAGGTGTGGGTAATGCGGAGCCTCTTCTTACTCTGAGGTGTCGGCTGAAGAGTGGTGATCGAGGGCACGTCCCTAAAAACCGAGGGCACGATTTGCGCGATGTACACGAGTAGTGGGCGAGGTACGATTAGTTAACGAGTGGTGAGCGAGGTATAATTCGGACAAGGGCGAGACTATGGTTGGGACAGGAGTAGCGAGGAGGGTATGATTGGGACACGAGTCGTGGGCGAATGTCTGGTGAGAAACATCCGAGTTAGGGAAGCTGGCCGCTGGGTGTCTGGGAAAATGAATTGGAGGGGAACCGCACAAAACGCACGTTGCGGAGAGAGAAAAAGGAAGGGGAAGTGAGTTGGAGAAATTAGGAAGGCCATGGGCACATTTGCGAGGATCGGGTGTTCCAGCCACTCTCATCACGGCGCCCCACCAGCCCGTCTCAGCACGGGACAGCGCCGTGAAACTAGGCATGAGCGGCTAGAGCTCGATTACACCTGACACCATCCTGCCACTTTTCGGCGAAAATATCTGATGAGTTAACCAATAGCGCCGCAATGTCAAACAACGTGATGGGTGCACCAGAAAGTTCAGCCCCCGCACATGAACATGACAGAAAGAAGTGCCTACTGCCTGAGAGTAGTGTGATTACATAGCACTTGCACAAATGTTCAGAAAAATTGTTGTGGTTCTACCTCCCCAACAGGGCGCCGGCGGCATAAAGCTACCAGAATACAAGATACCGCCACAGGTGGCTAGAACAGAACAGGATACCAGTTAGGCTCTTGTATTTGCCAACAGCGATACGTAATCACATGTGCTGAGCCCGGCTGACTGTGCACAGAACATGGTGCACAACTCTGGGAGAACACCCAGCTACTTGCCACCATAGGACTTCAGCTAGTCATCTCAAACGCCGACTTATCGGTATGGTACTGTCTAATACACTAACGCAAACAGGTCGCTAGGTTACTGGACCTCGCTGTTACCTGTGTGAACACCAAACACAAACATCAAACCCTCCACTAAACAATATGTTAGCAACGCACCGTAAACGGCGTTGAGATGACACGAGAAACAATACTCTTAAGAACTATCATAGTGTAATAATCTATGAAACTATGCTATCAATTAAAGTTCGAGGCCTTCAGCTCTAAAGATGAATGCAAATTAATAATATATTTATACGCATTTCAGAATCACAATCCAAGGCGGTATGACTTTTCAAATAACACCCCACGCTAGAGATATCAACCGGGTGCTTCAGGAATGACCACTCGATAATTTATCTGCACAAGCGAAGCACAACCGTCAGCCCGCGGACTGGCCGGGCAGTGGAGCACCCCCGGCCGTCCCCCGCTGACCCCCTGTCCCCGCGCGGCGGCGCTGAGCGTCCTCGGCAGGCCCGGACCCGGAGAGGGACTCCCGGAGCTGCGTCATCCGCCGACCAGAGGCCGGGCTCAGCGCCGCACGCGCCGCCGCTCACCCGTCAGTGCCCGGCGCCGCCGCCCCATCAGGAGCGGCTAGCACCGGGCGTTTACCGACCTCATCCGCCTCCGGCCATGGGCGGCGCGCCGGCCGCCCCCTGGCCGGTGCTGAAGCCGCCCATACGGCGGCGCGGCATGCCCCGCGGGGGTCCGCCCGGGCCGCCGCCGCCCCAGCCGCCGCCGCCGCCGCCGCCGCCACCGCCCTGACCCGGCGCCCGGTAGTCAGACGTGTAGCTCCTGCCGCGCTTGTTGTCGTCAGGGCTGATCAGCGTCCGGAAACTGGCGAAGGGAGCGCAGAGTTAACACTGAGGCACTGTCACACAGCTATACAACACTCTGCCTGTGGAGAGCAGTTACAGAACACCAAGTCCACCATCATGTAGCATGCTTTTATACGATATGTAAACTGACCAAATGTGCGATGTACTGACCAAATGTGCAATGTATTGACCAAAATAAGACTTTTAGCAGCACTCTCTAACACTTCGTTCACTCACAAGAGCTGGAAGAAGTTGACTACAGCCCAGAACAGTCCGAGCAGGCCCTGGACACTGAAGTAGTTGGGACTACCTCCCACCGTGCCATCTGTGAAAAGACACCAAGAGCTTGTTTAAACTGAAACGCCTCTGTGGCCACAGCGGCAGTGTCTCAGAGGTCAGGGCACGTATTTATCGGCATTAGCTGGGCGGAATTACTGTCGTGTACGGTAAGTATTAGGTAGAAAATTAGAAGGATGAACTATGAACAGAGCTGGAAAGCTCATTTAATACTTAGATACTGCTTATTCCTTACGCTTATTTGATTTTACTTGGAAACAAATAATAGCATGTTTTCAAAGTAAGGGCATCAATCTTTAGACGCAACATTAAAAATGCATGAGTATATTCAGTCAAATGAAACTACAAATAGGTTGACAGTTTAATGAGTTTTAAAAATATAAAAAGACGTCTTCTGACAAGTGAATTACCTGCTGATATATATGGCATCTTCAAAATGTAACCTGCAATAAGGCAAACTTCAGTGAACATAAATATAGCATATTGATTAATGATTAGGTACAGGCAAATCTCCGGTCAGCAGCTGCGAGGAGGAATAGGACCTAGGTATTATCATGAACAGGCAACGAAGATTCCACATGCAGACAGCCGCCACCATCGTTCAAACTTCCCAGGCACTCGCAATGATTCATCGTCCATCCATAAAACTCGATAAGTTCACCTTGCTGCTTCTTTTAAAGGCCTTAGTGCTACTGTTCCTTGAGTTTGGAAATGCCGTCTGGGGTCCGCTCTCCAAATAGGACCAGAAAAAAAAAACATAAAGCGACTGCACCACCACCGCCATCGGGGAGAATGATATGGTGAATGTATCAACTATCAGGTGTGCCATGGACTCCTGGACATGCCACTAAGTTACTCCTGATGGCTGACAAGACATGAACTGCAAACCACAATGGGACACCAGTAGAAGCTGAGCACCAAACATCTCTCGCGCTAGAACTCTTTCAGCCGTCAGTCATATATGGCTGGAACACCCTGCCATTAGATATCATCTCTGCTGTGCCACTGCCGCCATCGTTATATGCAAAACTGGTCTGTCACCACTGGACACTAGTAGAGCATGAGTTTGAGTACCCACCCTCTACTAAGGTCTACAGCCTTTGGGATATTGACATGAACTTCACTCATCCCAATGCCCATAGGTCAAGCGACGCCATATCCTGATTCAGACTGGAAAAGATCCACACACTACGCCAGACGCCCGTGAAACCCTCATTCGCCGAAATTCAGCGGAAGCGATTTTGCGCCGAAATTTCTGCACAATTTGCGCCGAAAGTTGAGCTTCTACTGTCAATTTGCGCCAAAATTAAGCCACTTTTACATAAAGCACATGTGAACATCTACCTACCGACCAAAACCAAAACTATATCAACCAGACAGAGCGTTTCGGGTTTGAGCGTCTGAATTAGTTGATGTTTTCATGAAGACCCAATTCCACAGTACACATAGCGGACTGTAGCGTCGTGCCGTGAAACAAGGACCGGGCCGGAAGGCGGAAACTCCGGGGCCACAAATGTCGGTGGAGCGGTGTGTTCGAGACTGGCGGGCGCCAGCGAGGGCCGGGCCGCGGAGCAGCACGTGCTCCAGGACATCAGCCTCTTCCCGGCACACGGCGCAGAGCGCCGCGGGGCACCGCTTGTCCAGGCACTGTTGGCATGACGCGGAGGGGTCAGGCTCAGGGGATACGGCCGATTCGGTGTACGTACTGGAGCGAGCGGCCCCAGTGGCCCGCCCTCATTTGTTGCACCGAAACGGCGTCCTCCCCGTACTCTCCGAGGATGGGGAGCTGCAGCGTGCTCCCGAAGAGTAGCTTGCATAGTGACACGGACCAGTTGTTGCGCCTTTGACGCGAGGCCGCACAATGAACCACCCTGGTCAGCGAGCGAGCGTCTGAGGGCAGGGCAGCCGCTTGTTTCGCCAGGGCGTCCGCAATCGCATTCCCCTCGATCCCGCAGTGAGCACGAGCCTGGAACCCGCTGCAGGATTACCTACTTCACGACACTCAACCATGTTCAACAAGGTCTTTCATACCTGTCTCCAAGCCACGGGTGGATGCTCCTCTGCTGAATAGACTCAGGGCAGCTTACGAATGACTAAGGCAGGGCACGTCTCATCCCAAACCCTCTCCAGAGCTGCCCGCAGGCCGTGCGGGGTGAATCTGCTGCTAGATTGACCAGCGTGCCAAAAAATTTGAGTCAGCCATTCACCAAAAAATTATGCACCCGCCCTGCACCAAAAGTTCAGCAGCCACCACACTATGACTTTGGCACATCCGAAGTTACACCGGACATGAGCTGAAATTTTTGGTGTAGTCCCGCCACTGGGTACGCCGGACATATTCGGCAAACATGTATTTTTTCCAGTCTGGATCCTGATGACCAGATAAGGCGAGGTAAGGTAAAGATAAGAACACAGAACATTGAAATAACAAAAAAGCAGAAAACCCTAAATTTTATGTTACCAATATAGTCAAAATGCAGACCGTTTCAACTTGGTTTGGGTTTACGCAATTTTGAGCTGCAGCCTGCAACAGCAACAGCAAGTCCAGTTATCCAGTTTTCAGTTTTAATTTCGCCTTTCACAAGGGCGTATTATCTTGGAAAATCACGAACTGAAAGATAAAGATACATGGAACCTGATAAATAACAAAAAAGTCGAAAAGTACTTACCTATTACACCAACGCAACCAATTATCACAAAGATGAATGACTTGCGAATGTTTACATTATGCTGCATAGACACGTCGTCGATCTCATTTAGTTAAAAAATGACGTCATAATACTGTGAACGTTTATTTGCCTAACAAAATGAGCTTACTGGGTATTTTTGATTCCTGATAAATCAATATTGTAACACAAACATTCTGATAATTGTAGAAAAAAAAATTCAAAAAGCAAAAATATTGAAAAACAATATTGAATTAAATGTAATTATCAGGTGATTATCTTATTTCCAGCAACAACTTTTCAGCGAGCCTTGTAAATCCAATTGTAACAGGTGCGCCATGAGCAGTTTAGGAAGGCGCTGCTAAATTATCGAACCTGAAAGGTCTATAACTTTCAAAGTGAGGGGAACACGTCCACGGATCGGGAGGGGAATATATACGTAATAAAAGCGTAACCTTATTCTCCATTTTTTAAATAGGCTGTGGAAGGAACATACTTTATGATCGTGAAAATCTCTGACAATAATTGTGCTATTTATAGTCGCCATGGGATGGTGCTAGGAAGACAAAGAAGAGGTATATGACAATATATCAATATAATTCAACCAAGTCTATAGAAATCAGTTAAGGCAAGAACACTGCAGTGTAATACATGTGAATTGAAGTGCTTATTTTTTGCATTGTGATTTAAACTTCATTGTGCCATCGTGGTCATCAACATTGCATAAATGATTTTTGGGTTATTTGGCATAAAAATTGCTCAAGTTGGGGCTAGTTTTGACAGCATTCTGATTTAATTTAAATTTCAACTTTCAAGCTCAATCTTACCAGTTACAACTTGCCACTGGTGCCCTGTTTCACGGACGCTGCTAGCGTGCTGCCAGCACACGTCAAGTGTCAAATTGGGTTTCCATGGAGACATCCACATCAACAAACTTGATCTCCAACACTGCCACAATCTGTGACCTTAGCTCGTAAAATTTGCCAGCAGTGCAGTAGCATCCAGTGAAACACCGCCTTGGATTCTTATTGTAAATCCAATAAATCAAAATAGGATTTCTAATGTGCTCACAGAATACAGCTATCAATTTCTTTCACTTATTTCAGGTTCTCACACAGACCACAGTTCAGCCCATCGTATGATGATCATTCTGAGGCTCATTTTGTTAACTTAAGTGTGCATTTTTGCCAAAACCTGTATCATTACACATTACCCATGTTGCCAAATGCTGCCTAAATAGCATTTTATGAGAATATTGGGCACAGGGCTCAGCTAAAAATTTGTGGTCACTTGTGCAATAGCATAATAACTAATTTAACTTTGTCCATAAGCCTAATACACATACCTACATACCCAACAAATTTAGTGTATGCACACTGGGGCAATATATTTTGATAGGCAACATTTGTTGAAGTTTCAGTATCACACAGTAAAACTCTTATCAATATTTTTCCACAAAAATGCTGGTAATGTTAACACATGCTGTTGATATTGAATACGTAGGTACTACAAGATACCTATCCTGTCTACTAAAGTTAAAGTGAATTTGATCAGGAAACTATGCGCATGGTTGCTGATCAAAATACTTTCTTCACCCACTCCCAGTTTTTGATAGATATTGGTATGATCTTGTTCTTTGTAGCACTAGTCAAAGTAATAACATGCAAGACAAGGCATATATATATATACTTTAATCCAGTCAACTATGGTTATCTATAGCAAGTGCTTATCCCTTCTGAAATTCCTGGATATTTAGTATTGTAGGCCCTAGCCACTATTTCTACTTCGTTTCATTAATGAACACTATATTGTTTCTCATGTAGGTATTTATTATCATTCAGTGCAATCAATATTCACACTGGACCCTCACACAGTTGTTTTCCTCCCACAGCCGTTCCCAGCTGGCCGTTCTCTGAGGACTGATGGCGTCCCCCGCTGGCGGCGGCGGGGCGGCGGCCCGTCCGCGTCCCGGCGAGTCAGACGCCCGGGTCAGCGCGCGCGGCTTCCTGCTGGGTCTGGCCCTGCCGGCGTCCGTAGCCAGCCTCCAGCAGATGTTCTTTGATCGGGTGTTCATGGGCCACGCGCTGTTCGTGGCAGTGGTGTTCTGCGGAGCTGCCGTGGCGGTGATGCACAGCCAGTATCAGGGGCGGAAAATACAGGTGAGTGCTTACCGAGCCGTGACAGGGAAAGACAGGTCAGTGAGGTCGGGGATGAGGTCAAAAAGTACGTTTGAGCGGGACAGGGGTCGAAAATACGAGACGTGACCGCAGATCGTAGCATGAGGTCACGAAGGCAAAATGTAGTCATTTTCTCTTTAGGATCAGACCGTGAGAGAGTGTGGTTTTCTTCATACGATCGACTGAAGCATGGTATTGCTGTAGGTAAGCCGTGTTTTATGATTCCACTGATTCTCAGGTTTGTCATCTGTCGTCTTCAATCGTGCAAATATTTGTCGAAGTGTGAGCGGTCAACATGTATACTGTATAGGTATGCTCCAGCTAAGTTTGTTGTTCAGCATTGTTTAAATCTCAAACGTATGAAGGAAGACTGTAACGTACTAGCTGTGTTCTAACCTTCCTGTGTTGATGCACGACGTGCAACACAAACTCTGGCCAGCTTTGGCCAGAGTTTCACTCAGCATGATATGTCTTCCATACATCCAGTATATATACTGGATGTGTAATATAACCTCAATGTGACCTTTCCCGGCAGACGGCGATTCGAGCGGCGCTGCTCGGTGACGGGTTCGCCATGGGGGTCATTCTGGTGACCTCGGCCCCCTCCTCGTGGCAGGCGTTCGGCTGGTGAGTGATAGTGCCGAGCCATGGGAAAGGGAAGCAGTTACTGCTTTGCGCTTCTTTAGCTCTAAAGGAGCTGTCACCTAGTCAATGGTCCAATGAAAGGTGCATGTTGCTTGTAAAGGATACGTATCTGTGCGGCATGATTGAACCTTTGTTAACTATAGTGTGGCGCTAATTGATGATCGATATAAAGATAACTGTGTTTGGTGGACAGCACTGTAACCGTCGTCTGTGTTTTCCACACAAATATGTGTCAATGTTAGGTTAGACTAGCCCTTCCACTGACGCCGTGCCGTGACCGCCGCCAGGTACGCGATGATCCTGTGCGCGTTCCACTACTCCGAGTACCTAGCTACAGCGCTGACCAATCCGCAGTCGGTCAGCAACGACTCGTTCCTGTTGAACCACAGCTGGGCCTACTCGGTGGCAGCCGCCTCCAGCTGGGTGGAGTTCTGGCTCGAGCGAGCGCTGTTCCCAGGTCAGTTGGAGTGCGGTGTGTAGGGCAGAGGACGACACTTTGCCCTGGCGTGGCTCAGACTGTCGTGTGTGTTGTGCTGTTTGGTGAGATATGGGCTTCAGAGTGTTTTGAGAGCGATGTCTTACATAATATCCGTTATGAAAAGTCTCAACCATCACGATTAGTTCACTGAACCCTCTCCCGTGTCGCCACCCCCCCCCCCCCCGTCTTTCGTCTGACGGATCTAACATCTCCTTGTGACCTCCGGCAGGCATGAAGGAGTTCAGCTTCACCATCGGTCTGGGCCTGCTGCTCTGCGTCTCCGGCGAGATCATCAGGAAGCTGGCCATGTTCACCGCCCGCACCAACTTCAACCACATAGTGCAGGTAACTGTCTGCACTCTGCAGGGTACTTTTTTGTTGGGTTAGGCTCTTTGGGTCTGACGAGACCATTTCAGGGCCGGTAGGATGGTGGGAATTAGGGGGAGGCATTGGTCTGGGCGAGCACCTTAGTGAGTAACCGGGGCTGAGCCCATCCCGAAGGACAGGCCGACCAGCCCCAAGGTACTCACTGCATCCGGCAATGGCTGTGCTATAATTATCGGACATTCCCGGATGAAGTTGCCCGTTCATCCCGAAACAGGGGGTTTTGGCGTGGAGGAGAAGGATTTGACTCTCCTATGGATGGATATGACGGAAAGGTGACGGTGCGGGGTACGGGCTGCGCTGTACACTTCATTACGAACTCGACGCGGAGATGTGTCTTTAAAGTAAAAGTTTAAAATTTGAGCTTTGTGCTTTAATTAGAAATAGCACCTTCATCAGCATGATGTCTTTATTTTCTTGAACAGCCTCTTATACCAAGCAATCAGCAGTTTTCAGTTTCAGGCAGTTTTTAGTTGTTTGTGGCTTGTGTTGAAACTTGAAAGTCTGTTGCGGTTCAGGCTCCTGTTTCTCAACATCAGGTATTTTTGCGTGCCACTTGACCTGTCATGACGTTTATCATACTCTTCATCAGAACGAGAAGCGTCCGGACCACCAGCTAGTAACTCACGGCGTCTACAGCTGGTTCCGACATCCCAGCTACGTCGGCTGGTTCTGGTGGAGCGTCGGCACGCAGGTGGGTGCGCGATACTGGCGACATCTATATTGCACTCATTAGCTGGTTATGGTGACAGTAACCATTAGGTGGCGCTGTAAATGCAATCGAGGGCAATAGAAAGAGAAGCGGGAGCTAGCTTATTTTATTTTATATCTTTCTAGTTGAGGTTTATTTGCCATTGGGTCTACAGTGCAGGGATATTTCTATCTCGCACTCCTCTGAAATGCAAAGATAAGACTTTGTTATCTCTGCATCCCTCTGAGATGCAAAGATAAGGTCTCGAGGGTTCATAGCGAAAAATCAAGAGTTCATGTGATGATGGGTCAATAACCGAACGACATTATTTATGGATGAAACTTATCAAATAAGAACAAACTACTCTGAATCTATTTTTACATAGATGAATGCATTTAAATATAATATTTTATTAATTAAGAATAAACCTCAACATAGAAAGATATAGGATTCCTCATATGGCTCACTCGTGGAAGATCGAATATCCTTTCCTCGCGTGTTACAGAAAAACCTCGCTCCTTCGTCGCTCGATTTTTCAGTAACCCGCTTGGAAAAGATATCCTTATCTTCCACTCGGAGCCATGAAGAATCCTCTATGAGACAAGTAGGTACTTATTGCATCTCTTTTGGTGATGCGTAAAATAATGCGTGCGGCAATCTTTTTTATTTTCCTAGCACATTTCTGATCCAAAACAATCAAATCAGTAGACTATGGAGTACCTATTGACAATGGTCATGGTAGCTGTCCTTCCGCAGACTGATGCAGCTGCTTTGGACGACTATCTGTTACCGTCCTTCTGACACCTGTCTCTCTCCGTCAGCTGATCCTGAACAACCCCATCTGTCTGGTGGGCTACACGGCCGCCTCCTGGACTTTCTTCAGAGACCGGGTCCGATACGAGGAGGCCACACTAATAAACTTCTTCGGCCACGCGTATCTCGAGTACCAGCAGCGTGTGGGCACCGGTCTGCCTGGCATTGCTGGATACCAGCTGCAGCGGCGGCCCCAGTGATGGCAGCGAGAGAGCGCTGTGACGTCATTGGTGGGGAACTGTGACGTCATCGGTGGAACGTTGTCACGTCACTGGTGGAACGCTTTGACGTCATCGTTGGCACGCTGTGACGTTGATGAAGGTAAGGTCAGCGTCCGACAGTGTTACGACTTACAATGATCTGTGAGGCTGCAGTTCACCCAGGAATAGACCCGACTCGGCTATAGGAAAGGATCTCTGATCGGGGAAAGACTCGCTACACTGGAGAAGGACATCGTCCGGTGCGAGACCTGTCGGACTGATTAACTAACTGACAGTGATAGTTTTGACTTGTCGTGAGCGGAACGACGGGGAGGAGAGACACACTGCATGATGTGGAGATGTGGTGACAAGCTGAACAGATAATGACATTTAGTGGTGAAGCTGCGAAACCCCGCCATGGATACCTCGCGCAGAAAGACCTCTGCTGTGAAGTTTTGATGCCGTGAGGTTTTGATTACCGGAGTTTGCGCAGCGATTGAATTTTGTTTCTGGTGTGTTATTAGGGATGTATGTATGTGGCCCAAGTGTGCGAAGCATGTCCATTTTTAACCGTGCTATACGGTCGGCGCTGTGTGAGGTCATATCAGTTTGATGTGATGTTTAGAGACATCTCTGTAATTGCGAGGGACCGACTCCGTCCCAAACGCGACTTATGGAAGTTTGACATTTAATGGTGTGCTATTGCCATTGTGCTTCACGCTGTTCCAGTATAACTAATATTTATCGTAATTATGGCGCGTTTTCTGATGTTTTTTCGTAGAAGAAAATGAATCCTGCAGGATCACTCGGCTCTTATTGTTTTCTTTGAGAGCGTTGCTGTTTGATATTAACCTCGTTTTGTAACTCTTGTCGCATCACCATTTTTCTACACTTTCTTGGACTTTGTAACATTCTTTCCAGACTTTGTAATGGTGCATGTGCTGCGTATAACTCTAATGCAACTGTATCGACGTGGGAGTAATGAACTACTCACTGCCGCTGACCAGTGTGCTGGTCAGTTGTGTTAATATTGCAGTTTGCCGCTGTATTCCCAGTGGAACAGTCCATTCCGGATGGAGTAACACTGGAATCGACCCTGTGGATGGGTTTAACTAAGTGCGCCTTTAGATGCTGCGATATCTGGAGGCTAGTTAATGCTCCTGTTGTGCCCTCACCGGTGACTTTTTCGGCGTTCGGTCGTGGTATTGTTAACACAAGACGTCATTCTAGTCACTAAATGTCGCTCACCATTTGTGTGAGATCTTTGTTGAAAAGACTGAAGAGAATACAACTGAATAACAGTATTACTTATTTGAGACTGAAAATGCAATGATTGCTGACATACATTGTAAGTTGGCGACTGGTAAACTGTGGTAACCGTTCAATGCCTTCACCACTCACTTTTGAGTTGTCACCACAAACTCCGACTTCTTTCTCCCTCTGTCCTTCCCTCTGAGTCCCACGTCTCCCTAGTTCCCTTCCTCCCCACCTTACCGGAGCCATGCTAATTTGCCTGTAAATGAGGTAACTCACACCCCACCCGCCGCTCGGCTTTATTCCGCGGCCCGCCCCGCTGACACCAGATTTGTCCGTTTGAGTGACACGGCCGGCGGCGATGGCGTCCGGTCGCGGTCAGAGCTGACCTCTGACCCGGTGGGGGGGGGAGGCCTGTCGGTCGTAGTTCCACAGCTGGAGGGTTGGTCGAGCTGAGTGGGTGGGCTCGTCGCTGAAAGTGTGAGGTCTGAGGCGAGATTTGTCGTGAGACCCAGTCATTAGTTTTGTTGGCGCGAGGGGGGGGGGGGGGGTTGGAGGAGCGAGGCCAATGTGATATCGAGTCGGGATGAAGATCGCGTACTGACTCCTGTTCACCCTAAGAGGTGCAGAACCATTCATTGCCAGCGGTCACATTATACCTATATCCAGACGGGGCGAAGAAGAACGACAGGCCAGGTAGCAGTGTCGGTCTAAACCGGCCGGCTGCGCTCTTGCCCAGTGGCCAGTGACCGGTCATGTGTTCGCGGTTGTGCCACCCGTCAGCCATTTGCTGTCGGGTGCTGACAGTGCTCGCTGGACTGTAGCTGACGGCGTCCGCGCCGCTAAACCGAAATTTGTCGAACAGTGCAAACGGGGGTCGCCGGTTAGGGACGGAGGGATTGGCACAGCAGAGAAACGCGAACGCTGCAAACTGCGCAGCGTCGGGCGTGGGCTCATGTCAAGTTTACGTCTATTTCTGCTGGTTCCAGGTCACGATACCTTCGCCCTCCAGTCTTGTTTAGCGAAAATGCTCAAATCTAGCCACAGTAACTTGCAATCGCCTGGGCTTATACCTGGGCTTATGGGCTTATGTACTAACAGTCTCGGGCCTTCGTCGTTCTCTGACCTTTGTCTATCCCGTCTCGGACACGCCTGCCGCCGTCTCCGGCACGACTCTCAGTCTCTCCCTTACCTCCCGCTCTCCCACCTCCCCCCCCGGCCACCCCAGTGTTCCTGTGGTCCCACAGAGCAGGGAGGGGGCTCCCAGGAGCACATTACGCCTGCCGATCACCAGCGAACCCGACACCACCGCCAGCACACCTGTAGGTCTGGTTCCCGGGCCGCCAACGACGGTATCGGCGGGTACGGTGATCCAACAGCGGCATGGGGGAGGGTAGGGTGGCCAAAGGCGGTAGGGACGTAGCCAAAGGGGGGGGGGCGACGGGGGCCATCACCAACGTTCAACGGCGTTTTGTGACGATCACCAACGTTTAACAACCGCACTGCGTACAGTGGACAACCTGCGGCGGGGGGGGGGGGGGTAGGGTAGGGTAGGGTAGGGTAGGGTAGTGCCGATGGACCTCTGCCGACGTCTGCTTCGATCGTGTTGCATTATGATTTATGCTTATAATCAAAATATTCAAAGCAGAGCAAAAAGTCGCTAGAAAGGTGACGGGGTCTGATTCGGTTCGTCATATTGTAGCGAGTCGGAACAGCAGGCTCGTATGACGGAAAACGCAAAGCTTAGTTTTCATCCCAGCCAATATAAGATGACAGGCCTGTACCGGCTACGCGGTAATCTAGACCACCAGTCGATAACGCAACGAGCGACTCTGATGAGGGGATCAGGAGCCAGGGCCAATCCAAACAGAACCTGACTGGGTGACCTGGCGGACAGACAGCTCAGAAACGAGCGGTCAGCTGGGCACTTTGCGGACCACTGGAATGTTGCACCTCGCTCAGCTCTGCATACGACTATAATGGCTGTGCTCAGACCTGCCACCAGCTCGGGAGATCTCAAAACCGATCACTTCGATGTCAGGCTAACCTAGCCAGCTAGCTCAACTCAGCTGCCCTGTCGGCTGTCCAGCTCTTGTCCTCACTAAAGCCCTTATCACCGTCAGGTCTCACCAAAACGTTTCTCAATTCGTTCAGACAGCTTACCATATACCTAATAGGAAGGCTATAGCTCTGCAAGGATATATAACGCAGTCATGCTCGGGGTAAATAATCAATTAAGCCGTTTATAAGAGATAAGATGTGCCTGAATTATAGTTGTAGAAAGAAAAATACCTGAAAAGACTGAACTTAACTTCATCAAACCTCGACCCGTTGGGTCAGAGGCTTTAGGTACAGCTTTGTTTTAAGGACGAGTTATTTAATAGATATTCTCAGGTACCTACCTATGCCTGTAAATATAGGTACTTTCCTACACCGAATATAAGTTATAACATTAACGTCAGCAATTGAGTGATGTGATGTGCGACGCGTGAACATTAGCAAGTGAAGTGACCTTAAGCGGATGTGTTTAACGGATACCAGACTTTAGTTTAACGATTTGTGAAGCGTCTAGAAACAGTTTATTTATCCATACCGATAGGTAGGCAGGCATTCGACATCAATCCCGAAAAAATGGCTCAGGCTTCAGATATACGATCTGAAGGATTCACAAATCATTAGGTAGGTATTCGTCTCCTTTTATGGTTAACTTGCATGTAAAAGTCGTGTGAGCTTTATATTGACATCGAAGCTCATACCTAATAGGTATTTACACTGAATACTGATTGCAAATAATGCAAAAGAATGATTTAACCGAAAAAAGTGAATTACATTCAGTATTCACCGCACCGAACACGGGACACACATGTCATGTCCACGGGGTATGTCCGCTACATGCTAAGGAAACGGCGGTGACACGGTAAATGTGCTTACTCCTAGTCATAAGCTACTGTCGTCTGTCTATCTATGTTATGCATGACAGTGACATGACCTATCTATGCAATGCATGACATGGCCTAGTGGCCTACCTATCGATTCTCTCGATTTTTTTCAGCATTTGCTATGCGCATGCCATTGCCTGTTTAAAACGTTCGACAAGCACAGCTCTTCAAAGGAAGCTCGAAACAAAACCGACAGCTATTCCAAAAGAAGAGCAGCGAATATCTCTACCGTATCATCCAAAGCATCCATTGCAAAAGTCCCGGCGGTCGGACCGTGTCTTCCGTTCACAGTGGGCCGAGCCGGCTTCAAGACGCCGCCGGGCGACGGCCAATGGATGCGCTCGGCTGTCTCCGACCGACCAATCAGCGGTCGGCGATGATAGTAGGATGGTCTGAGACAGACAGCGCCGACGAGGCTCCTCCCTCGCGGCGGCGGCTGGTGGCGGCGGCTGACGGGGGCTGGCGGCGGCGGCGGCGGCGGTCGATAGGTATGTATTCATTCCACCACCATGGTTGTCCTTGTGGGCTCTCGAGTGGATGTCGTTGTATGAATGCATAAGATAGCGAAAGCTGATATTAAATATTGCAGATACTGTTTTTGAAAGTAAAATAATCGAACCATTAAAACTGATTTCAATCGTTAACTAAGCGAGCCTTCAGGTAATTTCCCTCTACACGAGAAGGAAAGGTAGGCATAAGAAATTACGATGGAGCAGATTTGCCGGTAGTCTCAAAAACTTTTTCAATTTCATCCTTTTTTTAATGCATGAATCTTGACTTGCTGAAAGTTGGATTGAGTCATTGACCCGTTGGTTTCTGGCGCCTAGTAGCTGGGCCTGGGCCGGGGCCAATCAGAAACTGACCGCTCCTGGGCTCTTGAATTTGCACCACTGCACTGATAAGAAGGTATGCATGGCGCTGCAACACAATTCACAGCTAGCCCCGCAATCCAGGTCATAATGGACAACCTGGAAATTGTACAGGATCGCAATGTCGCATCGGAAAGTGCAAATGAGAACAAATGGGAGGCCGGAAATGGCAGTTATTTGAATGCGCCATACTGCTGTTTGGGCTTACATAAACCAACACGATGAACGGTAAATACATGACGATCAATACAAAGGTAGCAACTGGTTTGTAATCATACGTGGGACCGTGTTCTATCATATATTATTACAAATCCCTCGACCATTCCTTACCCGTCGTCTTTCGGTCCTGAGACGTTAGACGTTTCCCCTTGGTGCATCTACACCCCTCCCAGCCCCCCCCCCACTGTGTTTCGGGGGGGGGGGGCAGTTACCTGTCCCCGGGGCGGCCGCGCCGCGCCGCTCCGCCGGATGGCGCCGCATTAGCCGCCTCCCTGCGCCATAACTCGCGCAGACGCGCCGCTAATCGCCGCCGCCGCCGCTCGACGCCCGTCGTTACCGACGTTGCGCCAATTACCGCGGCGTAATGGCAGGTGCCCCGGGTCGCCGACGCCGACGGAAGCGCCGCTGTCCGAGCAAAGTACGCTAGCTGCACGTGCCACCGAGCTGACGAATCGCGTCCGTCGCCGATGGACGGAGGGAGCTCCTGCCGGGCGGCGGACGGGTACAGATGAACTGTGTGGAACCGGTATGCCCAATGCCCATTGTCCATTGACCCTTTACCCCCCCCCCCCCCCATACACACACCACGCAGTGCGGTGCGCGCTACTGAGGTCACTGAAAAGTTATAGCTGTCACAGGAGCATATGTCGTGATGGAGTTGGTCCCTTTGCGGAAATGTAAAAAGGCAGGCGGTGCCGGCGACCCCGCAAGACCTGCCATTACCACCGAGGTATATTCAGTATTCACTGAAGATTGGGCAAAGGAAAGAATCATGAAAACGTCTGAAATGCGAAAAATGCCTAGAATTTGCATGTTACGACTTAACGCGGCCTGGGGTACGATTTTCTGATGCTGTTTATTGACCGTGTCTGACGGTGACTGGCTGAGATTGGCTGGCGGTGACTGTCTGGTAGCATGTGGTGACTCTGGCGGTGAATAGCTCTGTCTGGCAGTGAGGTGACTAACTATTCCCGTGACCGGCGCTGCGGTAACCGATCTACCTGCTCTCCCGACCATCAGTGC